CACATATTTATATACATTCACTGTGCTATTATTTCATTTTTTAGTTGTGTTTGGTGATATCATAAATATTAATTGTAGGTGGTTAGGTTTATAATTAAATTTATTCATTATTGTTAGAGCTTATGTGCAAAAGTCTGTAATTATACGCTTGTGTATGCACACATGTAAACATTTATTCACATGCACTTATAGGCATAAGTATGTGTACATATGTAAACACAGACGCACATATATGGGTACACGTACACTTAAATCTGTGCTTTGTTAGTAATAAAGCAGTGCATAAATGTTGACCTTATTAAATTTTTTAAATATCATTTTATATATATATATATATATATATAGTACACACTCTTGTGCACCTACAAATGTATCATATGCATGCTGAACAAATATACAAATGTATATGTAATTGTTAAATAGTGTATGTAATTAAAATAAGTGTATGGTTATATCATGTATGTCATCATTTATTTAATGTTTCATTTTATTTAATAGTTAGTAGTTTATTTGTTTTTGTCTTGGTCTTATATTTTGAGGTCTTAACTATGGTGGTTTAGGGTTATTTATTTTTTGGTTTTTGCGTATGTACATGTGCGCATATGTGCATACTTTAATATTTGTTTCTTTATTAATAAATTAAGTTTATATTATATTTGTTTCTTTTATTTAAAGTTTGCATTATAGTTTTTTTTTAAATTTATATTTTATTTATTTATTTATTTTTAGTTAGTTTTTAGATGACAAAGTAAATATTTATATGCTGACATTTACCCACTATTTTAGTTTTCTTGTTTATTTTGGTTTTTAAAAGTAATTATTGATAATTTTTCCTCTAAGCATAATTTACAATTTTTGCTGTTAATACTGTATGGAGCTGCTTTTTTTATAATTTCCCATATGATTTTGGTGGGGGATATTATTTTCTTTTTGGCTTCATATATATTTTGATAGGGTTGTACTGTTGTGTATTTTTTCTTTTGAATGACATTTTGCAGTTATAATACTTTTCGTTAAAAAATTTTTTCTGTAACCTATGTAAATTTTTACATCTGTATTAATGTTATTATTTATGATGTCTTTAGGCAACTAGAATTTGTTGAAATTCTTTTATTTATAGATGTGGGTATTTGTTTTAAATACATTAGTGGGCGTGGTTAGAATTTTTGTTAATGCATATTAGGTTGTTGTTTGGGTTTCTTTATGATTCCATTGTTTAGGTTGAATATTATGCCTAAGAAATTTACTATTTTTTGATTGGATTTTATATTTGTTTTTATTATTGCTTGTTTTATTTTTTTCTGTAGTTCTGACATTGCAGTTAGGATTAATAGGCTGCTGTCTCTGCATAACCTTATATCTTTTTTGTTAATAATATTTAATCTATTGATTATATATATATCTATGAGTACGCATACCTCTGTGCTATCATAGCTATCCAAATTTAGTTACGTCAAAGTTATATCTTTTATTGTGATATGATATTGATTTTCGACAGTGTTTGATTATATTTATATACTCATTATATATATATATATATATATATATATTTTGGTTGGGTAGATGTGAGTTTGTGACCCTGGGTTTCACGCTTTAGCGATCGTCAGACAAACTGATTAATGTTTTAAAAAGTTTGGGTTTATGTGTGTGTGATATAAAAGTGGACATCAACTGGCAACAGTCTGTTTCATGCTTGGATGCAATCTTCAAGCTATGCATGTCCATGTGTGTTGTGCTTTGCCTTAACTATTTATATATGCTAGTCAATGATGCTTTATCAGTAGTAAGATCTGTTGTATTATCCCGACCGTTATTTGGTGAGCAGTAACATTTATGTTTCAAATTATTCTAGAGGATAATGAGTAGAAATAATTGTGGATCCAAATGCGGTTACTTGTAGCTACTTTCACTGCTTGGTGTTGACTTTAGTGTCCACTTTTATATTTACATTATCTCTGATATTGATCACTTTTACTCTCCTGCAATCTTCAGGTGGTGGAAAATTTATATATCTTAAGGTTCTATTCTATTGTTATATTAAAGCTCTGTCATGTGACATTGAAAATTTGCTTTCTTTTACTGAGTGATTCCATGTTAAATCAACAAAGTTTTATGCAAAAATACCATGACCAACATAGATTTTTTTTCAAATTTGCTACACTTATAAATCTTCATGATACAAATTGAATGGCACTAGTCTTACCTCGTAAAGTTGAATGGTTGTGAAGTTATGAACTTTTGATCTTTGCCAAAAATATGAATTTTTGATGATAGTGACAAAGTTTAAAATATCTCTGGTATTTTTGCACCCCAAAAAACATTTATATACAATTTTCAAGTACTTGGATGGATCTAAAATGTACCATATGTATTTTTTTTATCTTAGAGGTCAAATAAGGCAAGTTGACCTTGACCTTAATCTTCATTTTCTCAAAAAATGGTATTTTAGATTTTTTTTAAAATTTGCCAAATAATTTGTCTGTCTTATATCATACTATGTACAAAAAATTCATGGTGGGAAACTGAGTAGAACTTTTGCTATAAGTGTTTTACTGAAATGACCCCAATTCAAAATGACGGATTTGGGTATCTGCCACTCTGTTAAAATTTTGATATCTCACAATATACAACTTAATTTTTTGTATGTTTCATGCTTGAATGTAATCTTCAAGGCAACAGTTTATTATGGTGTGAAGATTGTGTTTAAGCATGAAACAGACTGTTGTTGCTTGGTGTGTACTTCAGTGTCTGCTTTTATATTTACATACACTATCTCTGATATTGAGCACTTATACCACTAAATACAGCATACCTTAAAAACTATAATTTTTTATCATATATATATATATATATATATATTACAAAGTATCATTCATGCAAAATGTAAATTAGTGAAGTTAATGATATAAAATCGCAAAATCCCTAAGCTAAATAAATTTTAAAGATGCATTAACCTACCAATCACTTGATGAATGTTATGAATTTTACCAAAAAAAAAAAAAAAAAAAATAATTTCCATGCCTGAAGATGACTGAATGTACAGTCAAAAGTACTTGCGTATTTAAGGAAGATCTAGTATCTTACTTATTATAAAACGCAGATTGCGTGTGTGTGTGTGTGTCTGTAAGTTTATATATTGGATCGGATTTCCTACATTTTTTAACCGATTTCAACAAAAACTCACAAGACTACATAAAATTACCTTGCGGTGGTTCTGACAGCGCCAAAAATTGGAAAAACACAATTGTTTTTGCACGAAATCAATTTGAAAACACGATAAAACATGATTCTGTCGCCAGAATGAAAGGTAGACAACTCATATCGAGTTATACTTATTATAAAACCCAGGTTGTTTGTGAGTGAGTGTCTGTGTTCCTTTATATATGGGATAGGAATTTCCAACATTTTTCAACCGATTTCAACAAAACTTCACTTTTTTTTTGGCAGGTAGTGTTTCTTATTGTCTTGCACACTTTTTTCTTTATTTTTTACATTCACAATGCTTTAAAAATTACATTTACAAGACAATTGTTTATAATAAAATTCTATTCAATTGGTAAACTCATAACGATTGAAAACAATGTTTTTGTTTGAGTTTGGGTTTGATCAATTAAAAAAAAAAAAAAAAAAAAATAAAACTAATTAAGACATGGGTGTTCGTCAACCTTAAACAATAATATTTGTCAATTTTATTTTTCAGTCTTTATGATGGTCGATACTTGATCTATCTCTTACTGTTACATCCTCGGGCAATGCTGGGCTCTACTGCTAGTAGTTTATAATTTTAAAAAACAAGGATTATAACATTTGAGTGATTAGTAGGTTAATGCATCTTTAAAATTTAGTTATCAAAGGGATTTTGCCATTTTATATCATTAACTTTGCTAATTTACTTTTTGTATGAATGATTAATTGTAGTATAAAATGAACTACACGACACACACACACACACGTGCCAGAAATACCTCCCACATTTTAAATTTTTAAAATGCTTAAAGTGTTGAAAAATCAAAGATAAATTTTAAATGTGGGAGCTATTTCTGCTGCACCTCATATTTTCAAACATGTGAATGTGCCTTTCATATTTTACTAAACTTAGCTTAGTCTGGTACAAGGCAACAGTCTTTTTTTTTTTAACATTATGAGACAATGACAAACAACTGACTCATAAGAGATCAAATTTAAATTTAGTTATGTTGGAAAACAAAAGCATTTAAATCCAAATGAAAATTTGGCAAAAATCAGAGTTTCTTTTGTGAAAACCTTTATAGAAAAATGAACAATAATTGGTATGTTATTTATAGTTTATTTAAATTACAAATAAAGGATAACTTTTTAAAAATTTAAAATCAATTGGTTAATTGCATATTTAAATTAACACATTATCTGTTGCATACAATAGGACACACATTTCAGGATTTTGAAAATGATTCAGAATGTTACCAGATTAGCTATCTTCCCCATTAGAATTAAAAATACATATTCACAAACTGAATCATTTAAGTAAAAAAAGTAAGGCCAGTAACTGATACTTTATGGCAGTGAACATAAAATGTTTTTTTAGCAATGATCTCAAGGTACCTTTTACATTTCTGAGATCAAAAAGCATGTGCAACCAATTTCAGCTTAACCCAACATTTTGTAGTTTTCGTTTCTGCATACAAGGAGGGGGATGAATAAAACCAATGTGGATAATCAGTTAAACACTAGGAAGACATTACAGGTGAACAGCAAAAATGGTCCTGAACCATAATGTATGAAATAAACATTATTCTAAATATGAAATGAAGAATTGATTGTGATGTAAAATGATGAAAAAATGCCAGAGATATGGAGAACAAAAAAAAAAAAAATTATATAAAAAGTAAATAAATATTTTCAGTTGATGATTTTATCTTTTTATCTAATCAAATATACACAAGTAAATAAAGAGGAACCATTAGTTACATAAAGGTCAGCTGGTTTTGACGAGGCTTTCAAAATTTGGTGTGCAGATCAACCGGTGTTTTACATGCCCTAAAACAGACAAGTCTCCACTTGAACCTTTCACTCGGATGGACACAAGATCCTGAGAGATAAAAAGAAAACAACAAATGCGAAAAAAATTAATAAATGTATTGGAATCTTTTGTGCATACTATTATGAACAATCTTTTAAAGAGATAAGCTTTTAATTACTTAAATGAAATTAAAACCTCTCTTCTACACTAATTTAAAAAAAAAAAAAAATTAATTTAAAATTATTCGCAAATAAATAACTGTAGACAGAAAAATAGTCTTCAAAGGTGACAAGGATTCATTGTTCTTGTCTGTAGATAAATTTTTCTCTACAAGTATTTGTCAGTATTTACAAGATGTAACTTTTTTTATTCAAGAAGACCAACAGAAAAACAAGAATATCAGTTATTATGCTGAAGAAATTGAAGTAGAAATAACAATATAGAAGGTCTGTCTGAAAAGTAATGGGACTGGTGTCACAAACAATTTATTTCAATTCTAAAAGAATAAACTACATGATTTCCCCTTCAAAGTAATCCTCCTTGAGTTTAATGCACTTTTCCATTCTTCTCTGCCAAACTTCTATGTGCTGCTGAAAGGATTTGTCTAGGACGCCCCTCAGCTTCATCATTATGACTCTCTTGATAGTCTCTATACCTTCAAAACAGGCTCCCTTAATGATCCTCTTGAGTTTGAGAAAAAGAAAAAAAAAAGTCACACAGAGCAAGATCAGGTGAATAGGGTGGTTGTTCCATTATGGCAAGATTCTTCTTGGCCAGGCACTGCAAGATGCTTCTATGTGAGCAGGTGCATTGTCACGGTGAAGCAGTCATGATTTATCCTGCCACAAATCTTTTCTCTTACACACTGAGCAAACTAAATACTGCATTATCTCTTTGTAGACTTGCTGACTGATTACCTCGTTCTGTGACAAGAATTCATTATGGATGATGCCTTTCACATCGAAGAACATGATTAGTCCTATTACTTTTCAGACAGACTTCATATTTTTGGTTACAAAACTATATAAAATGATGACAGGGTTATTCTTTGTATACTTTTTATTTAGTTAAAATTTGGGAGCACAAAATTTTTTAGCCCTTTCTGCAGCCTTCATCAGTGTTTGATATTGAATAGTGGTTTTTTTTTAAAGTGGGCTAAATTTCAAACATTAATGACCTCAGTGTAAGAATCATCAATCCTTTGGGTGTAGCACCTGATAAAGATTTTTATTCCTCTTTCTCATTCTTTTCCCTCACATAGGTTTATATATATATATATATATATATATATATATACACATGCACATACACACACACTAAGAATAAATATACATTTGTCCCTCAATTTTTGGTGCAATTCATTGAGTTTCATTCTCATAGCAATTGTAAAATTTACTTATAATAAAAAGTAAATAATTACAAAAAATGAATTGATTTAAAAAAAATTAAATTAGAAAAATTATATATATATATATATGTGTGTGTGTGTGTGTGTGTGTGTGTGTGTGTGTATAGTAGGAAAATAAATTATATACATATTAGCATGTACAAAGGTCAGCTGAGAAGTTCATAGACTGACCAATATATAAATGTATGTGGATACACCAGTTGGAAGACTAAAGACATCCAAGTGAACCAGATGATTCCATCGATAAAGCTATTATTAATGTGAAAAAATCCTCTGAAATGCAAGCCACATAAAATGAGTTTTTCCATTTTCTCATTCAATTACTCACTTTTATACATCATTTCCCAAATTTTGACCTTTCCTACAGTATATGATCAGTATTTCTTTTATATATTTTACACACAAGAGAAAGCACATTTTTCTGTTCAACCTCTGCACCATCAAATACAATAAATTCAAAGACATCAGTTTCTAGTGAAAAACTTAAAATTATTATCTATATTATTATTTTTAGAATCACCCAAACACCACACCTCCTTAAGAAGTTAACAAACAAGAATGTGAGAGTCTCGAGGTAATGGAAAGCTTACCTGTAAAAATCCACAAGGTGTTCCCATAGAAACATCCAGTGTAATGTTGCCCAAAAGTAATTGGGCCTTGCCAGATTTACGTGTTTGTAGTTTGCCAACATAACCCTCAGAGAAATCATTCAAGGAACACAAATGTAGTTTCTCTACAAGGTTGCTCTGTAAAAGGAAAGATGTTAATCAATCATTGACTAATCAAGTCATCAACTAATGCAACTAGAAATCCTTTTCAGGTACAACTAATGAGTTATTAGATAAAAAATTTATTTTGAATCTTGCATGGAAAGGTGAGGCTAGTAATGACTTCCACAGATTGTCAGCTTTTATCAAATAAAAAAGTTTACCTGCTTTGAAAACCAGCATTTGAAATCCCAAGTGTTAGTAAGATTGCATTTTGATAAACTAAATGAGAAAATATTAACTGCCATGTATATATATATATATATATATATATATAAGTGAACAGTGAAGTCAACACTCAGAGGCAACAGGCTGTTTTATGCAAGGCGCAACTGTCAGGCCAATGTTCACTTTTATATTTATATATGCTCTATCTCTGATATTGAGCACTTTATCCCATAAATATGGCACACCTTAAAACTTATATATATATATATATATATATATATATATATATATATATATATATATATATATATATATATAGATAGATACACACATGCACACACACAGAGTTGTGGACAGAATTATTCATCCCCACTTCTGTACTTACAAATAAAGCTGTAGTACCTCAAATTTTTGTGGAAACTTCATATGCATTTTTTCACAAAATGGATTTGAAAGAATGTGCAGTGATGCCCACAACAAAATTTTTATTTTAATATCAAGCAATAATACAAAAAAAGATTTAACAGAGGATAAAATTATTGGCCCTCTTGCCTCAATAATTAATTGTGTAACCTTTATTCTTGATTATTGCCTTTAATTGTTTTTTTTATAGTTCCTTAAAAGATCACTACACACACTAATATGTATTTTGCTCCATTCTTCTTTGGCAATAGGTTCTAGTTCCTTCAAATTCAAAGGACTTCTTTCTCTTACTATTCTTTTCAAATATGCCCATAAATTTTCAATGGGGTTTAAGGCAAGACTTTGTGTGGGGTACAGTAATACCTTAATTTTACTGTCATCTAAGCATTTTGTAACAATTTGTACTGTGTGTTTTGGGTCATTGTCATATTGGAACACCTAGTGATGCCTCAGAGACAGCTTTCATGCACTTTGTTTTATATTATTTTTAAGAATAGCCAAATACTGCTCTTTATCCATGGCACCCTGTGCTCTCACTAGTTCTCCTGGTCCAGAAGCAGCAAAACATTGCCAGAGCAGAATTTTAGGTGTTTAGTGTTAAGCAAGGGAGTTTTTCTTGTGCTGCAAGCTTGAAGTCCTGCTTGATGAAAGCATCCAATGAGTGAGGATTCTTTGTGACATCTCTAACAATTTTCCTTTTCATTCTCTCAGAAATTAACCATTTTCTGAGAGTACTTAATTTATTTTCTACACAATGAGTCTCATTGTACCTCATGATAATGAGGTGAATTGTCAATCTAGGAACATTTAAATGCTTGGAAAGGATTGTATAGCCATCATCTTGTTTGTATGCATCAACTATCTTCATTCAGAACTTCTTGTCAAGGTCAGCCATCTTTATTGCAGAATGAGTCATTATAGTACATAGCAATCTTTTTCATTATCTTTTAGAATGTTATAGAATCAGAACAATACTATTTCATTTTCAAATGGTGTTTCTATTAAATGTTAAATTAAGATAAAAAACATTACAATTGCAATAGAGCAATATTATTTCATAACTTCCATAAGGGTGGGGAGATGAATAATTTTGAACTGAATTAATTTGTAAAAAAATCTATAATGTATGAATATAATAGAAACTTCTAAAAATTTCACAAATTATTCAAAACTAAATATGGAATCAACTATTTATGGTAAATTCAGTAAGCACTTGCAAATATTCACATTTCCTTTTTAAATATATATCAATATTCAGTGGGGGCAAATAATTCTGTCCACAACTGTATATATTCAAACGTTTCATTAAATAATATAGACATATTGTGGCTTATTTTTATACTGATCTTTTCCAGCTGTCTAATCAGTTTCTTCATGTTGGGATGAAATTCATCAAGGAAGGCAATGTAATTTGTTTTTAACCCAATTACTTTTAACCTTTTCTAAGATCATCTTCAGAGGTAAATTAGAAAGACAAACATGCTATTGTAACTGTGATAAAATCTGCTTTCCATTGTTATAGTGAATTTTAAAAACACACACAAACACACTCTGTTATAGCTATTTTAGAATTTTTAAATTTATCCATTGTGGTTATGGAATTTTTACAAAAAAAAGCATTTCAATATAAAACAGCTGACAGGATTTGGTAGAAATATAAGTTGACATTTATTATATAAATTTTATCTGCATTTTAATATGTTTTTGCTATATTTGTAATAAATTTTGTTGTGTGTTGTCATTTTTTCAACGGATATTGGCTATGAATTAGAGTTATGATTTTTTTGTACTTTTTGGTAAGTACAAAATGTTTAAAAATTATACCTTGCACGAAATGTATAAAATGTTTGGAATAAAAAATATTCATAATTATCTTTATTTGAAATTATATTGGCTAAATGAATAAAGTAGAATTTTACTTTGAGTAAAATTATAATACAAGTAAAGAAAACTTGTTCTACTATCTATTCTCTAAAAATCTATGTAATTGAGATTGAAAGCAATACAAAACTATCAAGTGTTGTCAAATGAGATATCTATCAGCCAATTGATTCTGTAAAAAAAAATATTCCCTTTGGTATTGAAATAGCTATTTTAAATTATTATTTATATAAACGGAGTTTCAGAAAAATCTTGTCATGTGGGAATTTAAGGGAAAAGATCAATTTAATAAAAACAAAAAAAAAAATTTTAATCAATAATAAAAGAGAAAAAGATGCAAAAATTCACATTGTACTCATAAAACTGATGACAAATGAGAATATGCCAGATACAAATTAGAAATTATTAGCTTGGTCAACATGAAATTGCTGATTGTTTTAAACCTTACAAAATAGCCATTTTTTAAAAACATTTTTGGTATTTTCTTAAGAAAACAATTATTATTTATTGATTATTCATTTTGCTAACTTTTTTTTTCATATATTTTTTAAGAAAATATGAACAACCTGTCAACTCAAGTAGAGATTTAAGTAGAGATTTAATTTCAGCCAACAAGGATAGACATTGACCAAAATCATCATTCAATGATGAAGATCTGAAAGTTGTGATAGAAAATGATCCAAAAACCTCAGTCAAAGAATTCAGTAAATTCCATTGTATTTATTGAAATTCTTATTGAAATTCAAGCCTGGTCAGTACGTAGATGGGTGACTGTTTGCGAATACAGGTGCTGTAAGCTTAGATGTGAGGGTGATGTAATGGATAATAGCTCAGAATTGGTAATCAGAGACCCAAGTTCCAACTCAAGCCATGTTCATTATATTCACTAATGTGCACCTCTTATACCTCCCAACTATGGGTTAAATAGTAGGGGCTGTGTCTGAAAAATGTTATTTCTAAAAAAATTGTTAATAAAATATTCTCTTGCAAAAAAAAAAAAAAAATTATTCTTACAATCCCAAACTATGTTTAAATAAGCTACAAAAGTTGATAATCCATAAAAAAACAAATCAATCAAAGTAACATATATAGAAGATATATATTGTATGTAATCAGTTATCTATGTCTTGCAAGAAAAATAATTTTATGTATGTATCTAAAGAGAGCATTTTTGAACCTCCCACCAGAAGAATCTTATTATAATTCTGCCTGTCTCCTGCTTAGTTCCTTAGTTAGTACATACATAGGTTACATCCTGCCAATACCTTATAAATAATGGGCTATTTCATTTTGATTGTGTGGAAAGATGGAAAAGACATATCAGAAACACTAATTGGTTTCAATGAGAAAAAGAGAGAAAGAAATAAGGGAAGATAAAAGTTTGGTTGTTTTTGTTTAGTGGCATATCTATGGGTTATTTAATGCCAAAATCTAAATAATTTTGAACATAATTTTATGGCTTTAACTAAATGTATTTTGAACGCAATTGCATGCCTTCAATTACAGATAAAACTTATTGCTAGTCATTTTGCAATTTTGCTATTGTTGGTAATTTTACTATAAATATGTATTTTTATATTTTCATAGTGTTTTGTTTTTGTTTGGGGGTTCATTATTTGCTCATAGCTAGGACCCTAACAGGTGCTACCACCCTGGGTCAGAGTGAACCTGGGAACAACAGCAGTTAAGGCTCCATGCTCCTCAAATTCTCCAATCTCCCAATTAGAGGTCTTGTTGGCATACCCAAGATTAGGAATATAGAAGTGTTTGCCTGTTTCAGTGAAATAGAAAAAGTTGACAAATTAAAATCTTTTCCTTTGTACCCCCTCACCCTTATTTATGCCTGTTATTGCAATATTCTATTAAGCTCAAATATTTAATGATGCAATATGGGAATTTCTATGTATATTTTATTGTCATAGAAGTTATTATGAGCTTCTTGAATTAACTTAAGAATAAAGATTCAACAGAAAATTCAAATATAAAAACTGAAATTCTTATGTCTAACTCTACAACTCTCAATTCAATAAAGTGATGATGTCTAGTGGATCAATTCTTTGTCACCACACTTCAATTATTGAAGAATTGTTTTTTCTGACCCTTTTCAAACAGGAAACTGTGAGATTGAGAAAGCTTTGAGATCCTACCTCTTCTTCATTAGAATTCTGTGCAGCACTGGTTCCAGAAGAATTGGATGTTTGGTCTGTTTTCACTTTCGGACGATCTTCATCTTGACAGGGAGGAATTCCAGGTAAAACATCAGGCAATTGCAGAAATATCATCTCACCATTTTCTGAAGCAATAAATAGACATAAAAATTATGGAGTTTAAATGCTGCATGTTGGTTGAATGATAGGTGTTGTGTGTGTTCACATGTAAATAATTAAGAAGAAACATGCAAAAACTTGGGTTTCTACCACAGACTGTTTAATATCCTTTTTTGTACTATAAACTGTAGAGAAACAACGTTTTTAATGTTTCTTGGGTGTGTCTGTTTTCATTTTTTTTGTTCTAGAAGGAAGTTAGGATAAATAAAGATAAGAATGATTGAAATGGCTGAGATCAAGTCAGCTTTGTGCTGAGCTAGAACAACCAAAGTAGTTACTTCATGAGTGTAGCTGCAAAATATGTCTGAACATTATGTTTTGGAAATTGGAAAGAGAAAAAAAAGTTTGGTCCTTTCTGGAAAATTTATGTGATGATGACCAGAAACCTTTTCCAGTTCCTTTATTACTGGCATCATGGGAAAATGTATTTATTTTTGTTTTAATTCTTTATTATTATTTTATTTATTGATTTTATTTCATTTTCAAACAAAATGAACAGAATTATTCCAACAAGCGGAGAATTTAAAATCTACAAGATATTAAAATTATCTTTTTTAAATTCAACAAAGTAAGATAGAAATGTAAACAGAAAATTATTTTTTGTCTAAGAGTAATAATTAATAAGAATTAATCAATTTAAAGTAGTTTGTTAAACAAATTTAATGTCCTCTTCCAATACTGATGAGACTGTATATAACCAGAAGAGTAAAAAAAATAATTTCACCCCATGCAAAGCAGTAAAACCACTAAGACACAAGGGATTGCTGAGTGTGAAAGAATAAGAAATAAAGAGAAACATTATTAAGGAGAGAGAACAATAAAAGAAAAGTAATCAAGTGGACAGTAAATAATGATTGACATTGCATTTGAACACTATTTACATTACTTGGTGAAGTGGATAAACAGGAGATAACTGATAACTGACATCCATTAGACATGGCATGTGGATCTAGAACAGTCTACCCCAAGCAAGTTAAATAAAGGGTTCAGTTTGACATTCCAACCACCTGAAGAAGGCCGGAGTGTACAATGGCTGAAACGTTGTGATAAATATGGCATCAAAGATGAGGACAATAGTCCGAATAATGTAAATAGTGTACATAATACCTCATCTCAGAAATATAGACAGATTGCATTTGAACTTTTGAAAATCAAAGTTGACTCAGAAGCAAGAAGCTGGAAGAGAGTTCAACAAGAAGTGAAAGAAAACACTGTTAACATAGAACATAGTTACATCGAGCCAGATCAACTGTAATCTGATGAGATCTTGATGCCAGTCCAGTACTGCGCTTAAATTCAAAAAAGTCTATATAAGATAGTGAAGAGTTTATCCAAACGATTACCATGAAAGTATTTATAGAAAACGCAGAGGGAAACAGCTCTTTGCTTCAAGCTCAGATTTTATTATTTTCTAAACTTAGTTTTGGCCAGAGAGGTATGTGTGTGAGAAGGAACTCAATGAGAATTAAACTCTTTGCAGTGGGAATAGTCTGTGAGATCAGCTTGCTCCATCCTAAGGTGATCATACAAAAGTTGACGTCCAGGTGGAATGTTTTGGTTTCTGGCAACAATAAATCTCTTCTTCCATTCACTATCTCTCATGCTCTTATTTACAGTAGAAAAACCCACTTGACTCCATATCGATCATACCATCTCGCATAATGCCATCTTCTGTGATTGTTAATGCCATTATACTTATCTCACCTTTGACCGTTGGAAATTTGTATGATACCAGCAAAATCTTGTATTTGTGAGAATATAACATTCTTGAGCAGTCATTTTTTCCTTTTTTTTTCTTTCAGTTCTCTAACCACATAAAGCATACTTATTCAAATCTGAATTAATTTGCCTCCCACATTTAAAAGAAAAACTAACAGCTTCAAACAGCTTTAACTAAACTTAATTTTGTTTGAAATATTCAGTGTATGAAGGTTTTATAAGAGATTTTTATCCAAAAATTTCCATCTGTAAAGAAAGTTTTAATATATATATATATATATATATATAATTATTGTTTCAGCAAAGGGAGATTTTATTCAGTAAAAGAGCATGAGACTAGTGAATAAACTTTCAGAGGTTTTATCAATTGGTAATAATGTGGACAATAAAAATGAAAATTAATTGTGGATTCCCATTCATTAATCTTTAAACTCAACCCATGATTGCCCACATCTTGAAGGGACATGGCAGATGTACAGATAAATATAACTGTCTCATTGCTGTGTTTGAAATGATCATGTAACATAAAAAATATTAATTTTCTTTTTATTTAAGATTTATAATAATTCAAAAAAAAAAAAAAAAAAAAAAAATTACCTGACTTGCAACTCTTACGAAACAATTCTTCACATGATTGGTAATTTTCAGAATCATCATAAGGCAACTGTTTGGAGAGAGAAGAAATTGGAGGCTTTACATCTGCTGCAGTGTCATCAAGTGTTTCTGCTTCCATTGGTTCAGCTAAGAAGAAAAAAAAAAATAGAGACAATCATAAAAAAGAAATATTTTATCATGTAACATTTTAGACAACTTTTTACATTTGCTTCATGTTGACAAGAACAACTACTTTATATTGTCAAAGAACATTTTTCCTGATCAGGACTTTAAAACTTGGCTATACATATAATAGCTCGTCAGTAATGTTTGCCTTAATTTCTGACCATTGACGATCCTTTTTTCTATGTTTTGAAATGCATTTCTTGTCATTTTCAATGCCTTTGCATTATACATATGACAGCTAATTTGTCAGTAATGATTGACTCAATTTCTGATCACTCAAACAATCTGTTTCCCCTCATACCTTATGTATAATTCAGGGTTCCCACAGATCTGTATATAAAAAAAAAAAATCCAAGACTATGTTAAGAAGTTTTAATGGCTGAAACTGATGCATGCGCACGTCAAGCGAATGGTAGTCAATTTCAAAAACAGAAATTTTGTGATTTATCTTTTAACAGTTTGACAGATGAGAGGTTCAAAGAAAAGCCACAGTTGATTCTAATAATTCATGTCATGGATCAGTTGAAATCAGTGAAGAAATCAAAGTGCAGACCTAGTTACATATTTTGTGTATCATTCTATACAGTTTGAAAACTTTGAATTACACACTTTAATTCTTACTGCTACACATCTAGGCTATTCATGGTTTGTGAATGTCACAAAAATTCTTGACTGCTCCATTTTCTTGTGAAGTTAAGTATAATGGATTTAATGAACAGAACTACAAATAGAAATTTTCACAGAAGGACTACACATTTTTGCTACCCCTACTATGCTGGGCTTTTGTTGCACATGGCAGAGAACACAACGATGTTACCATTTTTTCAGTTCATTCAGCTCTTTTTCCAATTTCGATATCTCTCTGGACTTGTCCTTTGCAGATCTTTGCATGACATTGGACTTTGTGATAAGTATGAAGTTGTGAGTCTGTTCAGCTTTCTCTATATAGCTGTCAGCTGACTTGAGCAAATCTTGTATACAACTTTCAAGCTTGTGTTTTTTGGCCTTCAGTTCTTCAATTTCCGTTAGCATGGATTTCCATTTTTGTCCAGCTTCTTCTTGCCTTTTTGTTTTCTCAGCCTCAAGTATTGGTTGTATGGTGTTCTGGTATTGGAAGCAGTGCACAGAAGAGCCTCAGTCATGGGAACATTCCCAGCACCTCCAACTGTGGCCAAAGAGTCCATGATAATGAACTGTGCAACCAGAGTCTGCAGTTTCATATTGCCAGTGGAAATTTCATTATTGATTGAGAAACCTCTTTCCACTAAGGCCTGTCCATGAGAGAGTACCAGCAATCTGCAAACAACTTTCCACAGTTTTAGATATTCTTTGTTGCTAGGCAAAGAAGAGTAGAACAAAGTGTCCAGACATTCTTCATGCTTGTTGAAATTCTTGAAAGCAATATTTCCAGCAGCCTCCTCCTCAAACTCTTTGTACTGACTGATAATGTCATCACAATCAGACTTGCTGACTTGTTTTCTGTCTATCAATTGGGAAATACAATTTCTAAGGCTGTCTTCGGTGGCAAATTTTTTTTCACAAATGGATCCAGGGTTCAGCCATGCAAGTGATCTTACAAGAAGATATCTAAGGGGAGACTTTGCCAGAAGTTTCTCATTGATGGTGATGAACATTGTTCCAATTCTGCATGCAAACAGATCTTTTGTTGACACATTTCCTTTTTTGGATAAATTTTGCATAGCTCTGACAGAAATCCACACTTGATCTTTGCAGCATTTTATGCATGTTTGGGTTTGACAAAATTCTTACAAATTCATTCAGTTTGGAAAATGTAATTGTCTTTTTAGTGTGTTCTTCCTTTAGAAATCTTATTAACAGTTTCATGATTATGCTAAAAAGATCATCTGCAAAGAAAGGAAGCAATGGTTTATCACCCTGATATTTCATCAGAAATAGTTTGATGTCTTTCGAAACAGGCACAAGGATCTGCAGTTTCACTGGGAAAAAACATCATTCACATTTGACAGCACCACAAAGGACTTGGTCTGGGGACATTTTTCTGTTTTTATAATTCACAAATTTGATGACATCTGGCCAAATATCTAACAGTCGTTCACATGTTTGTACATTTTCTAGCCATCTATAGCAGAAATATGAAAATAAAGAGACATACTGCCAGATTGAACTTTTAATATAAAACCAAGCAAATTTCATCATTTTTTTGCACTTAGAACAAAAGCTAGAGCTACAGGTCATTATTAGTCTGCAAACTTTAAAAATAACATTCTTCTTATTTTTCCAAAGATGCATTTTCTATCCTAAGACACATCAAAGGCACATTTTCTATCGTAATTCCTGCCTACATTTTCTTTGAGTCAAATTTGATTCTCAAACTTGTTATTTTTGGTAACAATTTCAACAAATGTAGTTCACACCTAGATACATATTGACAAGGGACATGTAAAGTATCTATTTTTTCAGCATGAACTCACCCACCATTGATGAGAGATCAAAAGAACTTTTTTTTACTTTTGAAACTGACATGTGAATAAAATTTCTTCAATTGTTCAAATTTTAAAAGACACTGATAAATTTTTGAGATTCTACTAAAATGTATTTTATTACTGTAAAATAATTTATTATTTTCCTTTTAACTACAAAGTCAATGTGTGCAAAATAATTTATCTTTGATAGAGATGTTTATTTGTCTTTGACACCTTTTAATATTTGCTTTTCCTCTTTCCTTGTTGAGCGAGAGTAGCAGTGAAGAGAAGACACACGTGTATATTCTTTCTCCCTTTCTTTCTCATCACCTACTACGAGGTCATGAACTCTTTCTAATCAAGGAAACAAACTACCATTCACAATAATTGCCAAATATTACTAACAACTAAAAAAAGAAAATGTTTTAAAGGACAATTTTAGTTTTTAAAAAAGTCAGATTTCTGGGATTTGGCATTTTGACTTTTATAAATTGAGAAAAGGGATGTGTGGACAGCTCAATTTAGAAAGTTCCAGGACTTTTCAAGGATCTTTTGGGCTATTGCTGTTTTTCCAGGGCTTGAAAAGTTGTCAATTTTCCAGGATCTGTATGGACCATATATATATATATATATATATATATATATATATATATATATATATATATTGACTTGAAAAGAATTGTAGACATTTTTTTTTTTTTTTTTTACTTAAGAATTCTTGTGACCAACACTTCTTCAGAAGGTTATGTTGGTGTATTTGGGATGAGATACAAGAAAATATTCACAAAATCCAAATAGCAAATGAGAGGAAATTTTAGAACATGACTAAAACAAATTTATTAGTAAAAAATGAATAAAAAGATAAATGTTCTGAGTAAGTATAAAAAGGAAGAAATATTACTCACACCCTCCAAATAACCTTAACGATCTAGTAAACTGCTCTTTTAGTTTGCATAGGCTCGGTTTGTGTATTTTAATATAAAACGCTTCTAGAATCTTCAAATGATGAGTGGACCAAGCTCTATGTAAGATAGTGAAACAATCATCTTATTGATGTGCACAGGCAGGATTGTCCAAAAGGTGCTGACCAATTGCTGAATCATGCAGTGCTTAGGTCATCTTAGAAGATTGAATGAAGCTACCTGCTCTTATACTTGCAGGAACGTGTTGACTGATACAGGTTTCCAGTCTCTGATTGGTCCATCCTATGTATTCAGCATCACACTGACATTTAAATTTATTTACCATGAAACTATTTTGTAAATAGGATAGGCCATCCTTGACGAAAGAGGGGGCACTGAACAGTCTAAAAATATAACATAAAAAACTTGATGTAATACAAGCCGAGACCTTGTCAGCGAGTATTTGACTGTTTCTAGCCAGCCATGGTAGCTTTAAATAGAGGTGACACAGGAAAGGACCAAAAACTACTGGTTCCTTAAATTGCTTAACTTGGTGTTTAATAGTGCATTTGAAGACATTGATAGGAAAACCATTATCAATAAAAATACAACGGATTTTCTCTATTTTCTGGTTAAGGGTACATGAGGAACAGATTATCAATGTATAATGGACTAGAGTAGAAATCAAGTTGAATTTATGGGACTTAGGAACAAAGGAATTCCAATTTGTATACAAGCCAGTGAATGTAGGTTTGCGATAAATGCTGGTAATAAACAAACCATCTCTATGTTAAAAAAAAACATGTCCAAAAACGGCAAACACTCTCCTCCTCCATAGTAAATTGTAGTGATGGGTGAAGGGAATTGAGATGTGTGCAAAAAGCTGTGATGTTATTGATAGAATTGAAGATGGAGAATCTATCATCAATGTAACACCAATAGACATAGGGTTTACAGCTGTTTTCAAAAAGAAGGCTCTCATAATAACCTACAAAAATGTTGGCTAGAACCAAACTCAGAGGACTGCCCATTGAAACCCCATCGATTTGGGCATACTTATTGTCATCAAATCTAAATTCAACCTCCTCTGTTGCTAAGTGCATGAACTCCAAAAACAGAGCTTCTGAAATTAATGCAGGATCCAGGTGACCCACATAGAGAGCCTCAGTGCAAATTTGCAAGGTGCCTTGAAGAGGCATGTTTGTGTACAAGCTTACAATGTCAAACAATACTAAAAGCATGTTATCCAAACAAATTTCAGAGTTTCTAATAAAAATAATAAAATTAGAAAATTTGAAAGAATCAGAAATACAGTAGGTAGAGAATGAATTAGAAACTGGTTGGAATATTTCTGCCAACCATTTAGCCATTTCATGTTGTACAGCTCCTATTATAGATAGGATAGACTGAAGAGGCACATTATTTTTATGAACTTTAGGTAAACTGTACAATCTTGGACATTGAGACCCAACAGGTCTGATAATGTTATACACTTCTTTGGAAATTAAGTTACTTTTAAAAAACAAAGTAACCACCTTTGTATCTTCACTTCTATTTTATTGGTTTTGTCAGAAGTACTATCTTCTTAAATTTTGAGAAATCAAGTAAAATGGTT